GCGGGTCAGTGCTGCATCTTCCCGGGCTTCCCGCCCTCAGCCAGGCCACGGCGCCTACTCCGGTTCCTGCAGCCCAGGCCGAGGTGTCAGGGCGGCCAGGCGTCCGTGGGTGGGGTCCCTGTTGCTAATGTACCGGGTGGTAGGCGTGGAGAATGTGACGGTGAGAGGACTGGTGTGTGTGTGTGTGTGTGTGTGTGTGTGTGTGAAAGGCGCGTAGGCGTTGAGCCGGGAACACTTGTCTCAAATGGCACGGTCGAGTTCTGTCTTTCATCCTTAGCACCCGGGAGCCGTGGAGGATTTTACACAGAAAAGTCACATATTCTTTTTTTCCAAAAGTTGCTCAGAGAATAGTCGGGAAAGGGGATAATCCTGAGATACGGGCAGGTAATGTCCTTGTGCAACATTCCAGAGCTGGTAAGTCAGCAGTGAGGAGTAAAGTCTAGAGCTTGGCATCCCGAGATCACCAGGCTGCAGGGCTGGGCAGCGTACAGAGAGTTCTGAGTCCATGGAGCTCACACCATTGTCACCTACTTCTCATGACCTTCTTTCCACAGATCCCCATGACTACAGAAGCGCTTATGAACTGTAAGCAGGTGAGTGGAGGGTGTCCTAAGACCTATTTGTCACCTTTTGTCTCTGGAATTGTGTTCTGGGACTCTTCACTCTTTGGGGTTAGTAACACTAAAAAATTCCCAGCCCAAGGGTCATGTGTCCAGGCTGGGGGTTATATGGAGTGGCTCCTATTGCTGTCAACCAGTGGAATAAGAGATGAAAGGTTAGCCTCAGAATATGAAAATGCTTGAGGATGAGGCTGTGCTACCTTACAAACCATAGTTCTCCTTTCTTTTTCATAAAAACTAGAGCAGGGGGTTAGAAATAAGGCTTGAAATCACACCTTGAGAAGGTGGGTGTTTATTTTGTAGGTGATGGGAGCATTGAGGGGTTTGCAACAGAGGAGGTAGGTGATCTGACACAGGTTTTAGCAGGCTCCCTGTGACTGAGTCAAGAACAGGCTATAGGTATGAATGAGGTGATAAGAAGTCCAGGGAGGAGGTTACTGTAGTCATGCAGGTGAGTGTTGATGCTGACTGGAACAATGTGGCCACAAATATAGGCGATGTGGGTGAGTGGTAGGTTCTGGATTTTTTTTTTAAGAGAGGTTTTTTAATTTTTGTTTGTTTGTTTGTTTTGTTTTGATTTTTGGTATTGGGCATGTGTCCTCAGTGGAGAGACAGAAAGAGACAGACGGACAGAAAGCAAGAAATCACCCCCCAGGATGGTTGGCCATGCCACACTCCCTTCCCCATTCTCCTCTAGGGATTTTGGGCACATATGCATATGCGCCCAGTATGATTTTTAAGAGAAATTTTTGCCATAGGGCTTGTGTGCTCACTAGAGAGACAGAAAGCACGAAATCATTCCCTAGGGAGATGGCCATGCTGTCTGTAATCCCTTCTCCTCCATTCTCCTCTCAGGATTTTAGGCACGCGTGCAAACACACCTGATGTGAGCTTCAAGCCTCTGGGTCCAGGACTTGAACCGTGGTCAACTATGTGGGAGTTCAGCTATGTAACCATTACACCATCTGGTCTCCTGGATTTTTTTTTTTTTTTTTTTTTAATGGGAGAGGTTTTTTTGCTATAGGGTGCGTGCGCTTGCCAGAAAGACAGATAGATGGAAAGCGAGAAATCACCCCTCAGGGGGGATCGCCACACCGCAATCCCTTCTCCTCCATTCTCCTCTCAGGATCTTGGGCATGCATGCACGCACATGCGCCTAGTGTGAGTTTAAGCCACCGGGTCCAAGACTCGAACCACCTTTGACTACATGGGAGTCCAGTGACATAGCCGTTACACTAACTGCTGGCTCCTGGATTGTTTTTTAATTATGGCTGCCTGGATTTTCAGATTTTTTTTTCTTTTTTTTTTTTGTAGAGGTTTTCACTTATAGGGCACATGTGCTCGCCAGACAGACAGAGAGAGACATAGAGACAGAAAGTGAGAAATCACCCCCCAGGGGGGATGGTCACGCCACAATTCCTTCTCCTCCATTCTCCTCTCGGGATCTTGGGCACACACGCACACGTGCCCAGCGTGAGTTTTAAGCCACCGGGTCCAGGACGTGAACCGCGACCGACTACGTGGGAGTCCAGTGACATAGCCATTACACTAACTGCTGGCCCCTGGATTTTCAGATTTTAAGGGTGAGAGAGCGGTACGAGTTGGTTGACTTCAAGATTTTTGGTTTTATTTATTTATTATTATTAATTTTTTTTATTTGAGAGCTTTTTGCTATAGGGCTTATGTTCACCAGAAAGAGAGACAGAAAGCAAGAAATCGCCTCTCCCGGGGGGATGGCCATGCCACAGTTCCTTCTTCATTCTCCTTGCGGGATCATGGGCACGCATGCACACGCGCCCAGTGTGAGTTTAAGCCACCGGGCCCTGGACTCGAACTGGGGTCGACTACACGGGAGTCCAGCGATGTAGCCATTAAGCCATCTGCTTGTCCCATGTCCCAAGATTTTTGGCTGTAGCAGCTGGAAGTATGGAACCTCTGTTAACTAGGATGTTAAAGTTGATGGTAGGATTCATTTTCATTGGGAATATCAGGAGTTTGGTTTTTTTTTTTTTTTTTTTTTGCCATTTTCAGAGTAGGATTTTTCTAAGAGAAGCGGTACGAGTTGGTTGACTTCAAGATTTTTGGTTTTATTTATTTATTATTATTAATTTTTTTTATTTGAGAGCTTTTTGCTATAGGGCTTATGTTCACCAGAAAGAGAGACAGAAAGCAAGAAATCGCCTCTCCCGGGGGGATGGCCATGCCACAGTTCCTTCTTCATTCTCCTTGCGGGATCATGGGCACGCATGCACACGCGCCCAGTGTGAGTTTAAGCCACCGGGCCCTGGACTCGAACTGGGGTCGACTACACGGGAGTCCAGCGATGTAGCCATTAAGCCATCTGCTTGTCCCAAGATTTTTGGCTGTAGCAGCTGGAAGTATGGAACCTCTGTTAACTAGGATGTTAAAGTTGATGGTAGGATTCATTTTCATTGGGAATATCAGGAGTTTGGTTTTTTTTTTTTTTTTTTTTGCCATTTTCAGAGTAGGATATTTCTAAGAGTAATCACTGAAGATAATCAGTTAATAGGTGGCCATAGATCTGAAACTCGAGGGAAGGACTGAGGATGGAGAAATACAAAATATGGTGACTGATTTGCGTCTTATGGTGATGCTTGGGTCATAGGAGTAGAAATTTTGGTCCTGGTGATAATGCTATTAGGAGCCTAGGTAAGCAAGGTGGAATCCATGACTGGGTCTCATGCTTGGTCATTTGGGTGGAGTTGGAGGACATCACAGACAAACTGAGGGAGTGAGGTGGCTGTGGAATGTTGCGAGAAAGTGGCAAGTGGCCTTAACTTCCATGGAAAGAGACCGTGAGTCTAATGCAGATGCATAGGCATTATTAGTGTGAGATAACATGGTAGACAGTACCTGTGCCTTTCACCAGGCTTTTGGATTCGACAGGATTTAGTAGTGACATTTGATGTGTATGGGAGTTTCAGTCAGGCTTATCAATTAACTCAAGTGGCCATCTGAGAGAGTCTTTGGATCTGGGGCAGAGAGCCTTTGGGGACAAGCATTGGATGATGATTAAGTGCAGAGAAGAAAACTGTGAATGGAGAGGGGCATTAAGCACAGCACAGGTGGAGTATCTGATACCTGAGGTGGTTCTGAGTGACTGAGGTTGAAACAAGGAACAGAGTCAGACAGAGAGGCCTTCAGAACAGAATGGAGGCTACTTCTGACAGAACTATCAGAGGTCTGGGGAACACAGATCCTGTCTCAGTTTGCTGAGTACTCTCTGGATGCCTTGTGCTGTGTAACATGTGGAAGGGTCCGAGAGATGTCCTTGGTGTAGAACAGCTGTGAGAGTGAGACTATGTAAATAAGATGTAGTCCAAGGAGAAATGTGCATGAAGAGAGGGATTGTGAACTGAGAACCCAAGGGTGCTGGCATCCAACCCATGTTTGGTTGTTTCCAGGATGTACAATCTGAGGAAAATCAGAATAATTGCCTGACAAGAGTTGTCATTCCAGATTCAGAGTTTCAATGGTGTCTCCCTGCCCACCTGCCCATAATAGCTGTGCAAAGACACAGTGATCAGTGGGACAGTGAGGAGAGTGGGAACATTAGTGGTACTGGGGCCTAGTGTGTCCTGAGAAGTGGTGAGATGATGAGAATGTTGAATGGAAAGGATTTGTGGGTAGTAAAACTTGGAATTCTGGGAGAGAAGCTCATCATTGAATGATCTGTCCCCATTATGACAGAACTGTGTGACCTTTGAGGACGTGGCCATTTACTTCTCCCGGGAGGAGTGGGACCTCCTTGATGAGTCTCAGAGGCTCCTGTACCTCGATGTAATGATGGAGAACTTTACACTCGTGAATTCTCTGGGTAAGGTCTTCATATCTACCATGGTATCTTGGTCTCTGTGTATCCTCTTCCCCCAGAAGCAGCTCTGGCCTTACCACATTCAGACCATGGGCTCTGCTGACTTCCTACTGTCTTGGTCTGTAGGTTATGGGTGCCAGCACTGAGCTGTGTTCACTGCCTTGAGCAGCCCTTCCCATCAGCAACCCTAATAATTGCCTCCCTGTAGCATGCAGGGAAGGGTCAGGGTGGCAGGTGTCTTACGATCAGCTTAATACACCTCACCTTTCTTGCATGCTCCTTGGCTAAGTGTCCAGATCCATGATACTTTTGTCCCTTGTTCAGTCTCCTTCTAGCTGACATTTCCTCGTAGCTATTTATGTCAGAAACTATAGGCCTTGTCATGATCAATACTTACGTGAACCATGAGCTGTTTTGCCAGGCCCTCCTTCTAAGCTCTTTCTGTAATACTAGTTTTCTCCCCTGTAATCTCTTGTGTACTGAACTCTGGGCTGCTACTAATGTCTTATGTGTCCTGTCCTTCCTTAGAACTTGTATCATGCAGATCTCATGTACAAGGGAGGTTATAAGGAAGCCCTGTTTGTTTCATAGAGTGGACATGGCAGGATGATCTCATAAGAGGCCTGGCCCTGGCCAATGGCCCTTGGGGGAGGGCATGCCATCTGGGATGTCTTCAAATCATGTAGGGAACCTGTCTTGTGTCTCAGTGTTTTGGTGCAAGTGCCAGTGCATACACTTCATTTTTACTCCCCCACCCCCTCACATGACATTTTATTGACTTGTCACATGATCTGAGACTTCCTATCTTGGGCTTCCCCAACTTTCTGGTCTCTGCCTCTCACTTGTTTCTCTCCAAGGCCCTGTCTTCAGTGTTCTCCTACACTGACTCACACTTAATGTGCCATGTGCACATTATCATTAAACAGTCCTGAACATTTGCTATTTGGTTCCAATTGGATTTTTCTGGACATAGCCAACTTTCTGTACAGCATCCACATGTTGCCGACAAAGTCCCGCAAGAGTCCTGCTAAATGTTGACGTTTATAAAAAGTTTAATATACATCATATGGTTATAGAAAGTCACCTTTCTGCAGAAAAGGTACAAAAAGCTATATACTCTAGAGGCTGTTTGCAGAGACATAATGTGGAGAGATTCTGCCTCTCCTCTCTTTGCTGCTACCCATCTTTGTGTCCTTCATCTGGTGAGGCCTTCCTCATTCTCTGATCATTTAATATTGTTGCTAGGTTCAGGAGCGCTAGTGGGTAGGACCATTAAGGTATCACGATGCTGGGACCAGCAGTTAGCGTAAGGGCTATGTCGCTGGACTCCCACATAGTTGACCGCGGTTTGAGTCCCGGACCCGGTGGCTTAAACTCACGCCGGGCGCGTGTGCATGCGTGCCCAAGATCCCGAGAGGAGAATGGAGGAGAAAGGATTGCGGCGTGGCCATCCCCTCTGGGGGATGATTTCTCGCTTTCTATCTCTCTGTCTGTCTGGCGAGCGCATGCGCCCTATAGCAAAAAAACCTCTCCAAAAAAAAAAAAAAGGTATCAGGATGCTTCCTTTAATTTTCTCAGGTTTCAGAACAGGCATAACTGGGCTAACAAATGGAGAAGCAGTAGAGATAATCACCCTTTATTAATTAGATTTTACATAGTAAATTTTAACCTTGAAAGCTCTGATTTAATTTACCTTGGGCTATATTACACTATTTTATTTATATATTTTCTCTCTCTCATTTTTTTTTTTGGAGAGGTTTCTGCTGTAGGGCGCGTGCACTCACCAGAGAGACAGAAAGCGAGTCCCTTTTCCCTTCTCCTTTCAGGATCTTTGGCACGCATGCCCATGCACCTGGCGTGAGTTTAAGTCACCAGGTCTGGGACTCGAACCTCAGTCAACTACATGGGAGTCCAGTGACGTAGCCATTACGCCCCCTGCTGGTCCCAATAAATGTATCTTTCGTTTTTTTTAAAAATAAATGTATCTTTTTTTTTTTTTTTTTTGAGAGATTTTCACTGTAGGGCGCGTGCGCTCGCCAGACAGACAGAGAGAGACATAGAGACAGAAAGCGAGAAATCACCCCCCAGGGGGGATGGTCACGCCGCAATCCCTTCTCCTCCATTCTCCTCTCGGGATCTTGGGCACGCACGCACACGCGCCCGGCGTAAGTTTTAAGCCACCGGGTCCGGGACACGAACCGCGGTCGACTACGTGGGAGTCCAGCAACATAGCCATTACGCTAACTGCTGGTTCCCGTAAATGTATCGTTTTTAAAAAATTTTTTTTCGGTGGTGATTAAAGGCACTGGACATCCACATAGCCAGCCATGTTCGAGTCTCAGACCTGGTGGCTTCCTTTCTCACTTTCCTTCTCTCTTTCTCTGGTCAAGTTGGAAAATAATAGTTAATAAAATAATTCTGGGAACCAGCAGTTGACACAATGGCTATGTTGTTGGACTCCCATGTAGTCGACCATGGATCGAGTCCTGGACCCAGTGGCTTAAACTCATGTTGGGTGTGTGTGCATGCATGCTCAAGATCCCGAGAGAGTGGAGGACAAGGGATTGCAGCAAGGCCATCCCCCTTGGGGGAGGATGATTTCTCATTCTGTCTCTCTGTCTCTCTCTGTCTTTCCAGCGAGCGCATGCGCCCTATAGCAAAAACCTCTTCCCAAAAAAAGAAAAAAAAAGAAAAGATACATTTATTAAGCATCATGATCAGACTATTAAATTTAACAATTAACAGCATGGGAACAAAAAAAAAATCTACATTAAAACCCTTTGTTGGAATGCTTTACACTTTCCACAGAATAGAAACTAAGATAACCTCTTATACAATTAGTCACAAATACAGTCCTCGAATTTTTTTTGCCCATACACGTGAGTATTGTCTAAAACATGTCTTCTTTGTAGCAGCTAGGCCCTACTACCACTGTGTTTGATTAAGTTCACAAATCTGTTGTAACCTATAGCTTCCCTGTCACTTCTTTGGCTCTCCTCTTCTGCTAAGCTTTGTTTCCTGGCAGTTTATTAAAACCTTTTGCCACTGCCGTAGCTACTGCTGCTGCTGGAACCACCGTATCCACCTTGATTTTGTAGTTTGGCAAAGTATTAACCTCCATTACCATAAGGGCCAGAGCTTCTGCTTCCAAAGTTCCCCCACTTAAAAAAAACCTCTCCAGGGACCAGCAGTTAGCGTAATGGCTATGTCGCTGGACTCCCACGTAGTCGACCGTGGTTCAAGTCCCGGACCCGGTGGCTTAAACTCACGCCAGGCGCGTGTGCCTGCGTGCCCAAGATCCCGAGAGGAGAGTGGAGGAGAAGGGATTGCGGCATGGCCATCCCCCCTGGGGGGTGATTTCCTGCTTTCTGTCTCTCTGTCTCTCTCTGTCTGTCTGGTGAGCACACAC